ACATTGATATAGGAGTAACTAGCAAGACAATTAAAAACATGATCAGTAAAATGAAACGTAAGGGGAGAGGTCAGACGCAAGCAACAAGAACAACTCTGAATAGGATAAAGCTATCCTTTACTGTTGAACACCTATTTATAAGAATCTCACAAAACTGACTGCCCTCCCTTGGGAAACAGCAGATATATTCTCAAGGGTTAGATCGCAGAGATTTTCTCCCCCAAATCGACTCCATGCTGGAATGTCTCTTTACTCCCCCCTGGAAGGGCTCCTTCTACTTCAGATCTATGACAATTTGTCGTGGCCAACTCATCACAGTCAACTCACCGCAGCCAGCTGGCCACGGGACAATTCGCCATAGCCAACTTGCCAAGGCCAACTCACCATGGGACAACTGGCCATGGGGCAAAAGTTATATAATATCAAAGAAATGGTGGAATAGAATCATTAAAGAAAGTTTGCTAAAGGAGAGACAAAATGAAATGACAAAAATTAAAATATTTTTTTAATTTATTTTAAATAATTACATTGAATTGTTAAATTGTCCCACAGCGAGTTGGCCAGAGTGAGTTGTTCTGCCATGAGTTGGCCATGGTGAATTGGCTGTGGCGAGTTGGCAGTGGCAAGTTGACCACAATGAGTTGGCTGAGCTGAGTTGTCTCATTCTACTCTATTTCAGCCGGTGATTCTACCACAGGAGAAGAGGAATGATGAATAGAACTTAATACCTACATGTGACCCTCTTTTTGAGAACTGTACTGGAGGTGGAGGGAGATAGAAGAGATAAAAAGAAAAGAAAAGAGGGCCAGAATAAAACCCCAAAGTAATAATTTAAGTACGCAAACAAATGAAAAAAGAATACTGCAACATCAATAAGATGTGTAAGAAAAAAAGAGGCTGACAAATCACATTTGGTTTCAATTTACATACCAGTAGCATAAAAGATATTCTTAAATTCCCACGATAATATATCATCTTACAAAGATAAATGATTATCATAATAAACAAGGTCAATATACTTGTCTGTTTATAACATTGTGAACCAATTACAAATAATGTAAATCAGTAAATGAATCTCTAATTAATATACAAATTTCATTCATTATGCATATTCTAATGATATCTCAGATTATTAGTCCTAAGAACTACAACCTTTAATAATAATTCCCAGTTTAATTTAAAAAATGATTCCATAAAATGCACGGAAGTATCTTGCGTAAGAATAAGAGAACCACGATCTGCTGCAACTAATTTGGTTGAGAACCATTAAATATTGTCCCAAACCAGTGCTTTTTTTCTTAAAAAAAAAAAAGATATCAGAACTCACACATATCATACAATCTGCTTTGCCTACTCTACAAGGTTCCATCCAATAAAGGTGGTGGAACTCCGTTCTGGGCGTTCTAAGAGAAAAAAAGCCCTGTCCCAAACTATTATCTTATATTGTCCTTTCTAACAAACTTGTGACTATAATGATGAAGTCCACTGCATAACATTGAAAGAATAAATTAATCTTATCAAACAAATTTAAAAAGCATTGCTAAAACCAGGACTTGCAAAACAAATAATTGATGCAATAGTTTATATTGTGTTATACAGTTGTTTCATACTTAGAAAGATACTGAAAGGCTCTCATTATTTTTACATGTTTATTCTAATTTCTAACATACATTTAACTAAGGATAGTTAAATAGCATTAATATTTATAACTTTTATCTCTCTATTGAGAAAATCCTGAAACTACCAATAATACAAAGTGGTGAGGTACAATATCTCAGAATTTAGGAATTTATTTAAAAAATGAAAACCCACCTAGGATATTATCAGTATGAGAAGGCCTTTTTAATTTTTTTTTCTACAATTTCTCTCCGTACTAGCCACATGTAATGTATATCTATATATTACTAAAACGCTGATTCCTGTAACCTTTTCGTGGGTGAAACAGTGCACCATAAGTCAAAATATTTTGAACCAACATACTTCAAATGAGCTAATTTACAGAATGTGTCCAAAATCTGGGATCAATGACTCCCATGGAAATGAAGCTTGGCAAATTTTATAAACAAATTTATGACATAAAGATGATCATAAAGCAATTTATGACATAATACAAAATGATGTTTATTTTCACAGCAGATACATCTCTGAATGTATCCCAATATTTCCAGTGAAGGCAGTAGATTAGGAATTCTGTCATTGTTGAAGGCTTTCAAGGAAATATCTCTAAAACAATGACCCAATGGTCCAGGGATTGTCTAGTCCTATTTACAAAAGGGAGTGCTCTATCTAGAAAAATATGCTTTTTTTTATTTAAGTTTTTTGAAAATTTACAGAAACAAAACAACCCTTCCCCAAACCTCCCCAGCCCTCCCATTCCCTCCCCCGACCTTCCCAGAGCTGAACATAGGCTTAATTAAAATTTCTTCAAAAAATCTTAAAAAGAATATGAACCATAAATAAGTCTAAATACATTAATTGAACAAATTATAATATAATTAACAATAATATATAATATATATATAAAAAGACATAAATACCAAAAGAAAATACTTAAAAAGAAAAAAGAATAAAGAAGAGGAAAAAAGATAAAGATAAAAGAAAGTATAATAAAAATAAGAGATAAAAATGAAAAAAAAAGAATAAAATCTATAAAATATTTTAAAATTTAAATATAAATTATTGGAAAGCTAAAAAATATTTTTTAATATCCAACTTATATTGTATAAAATCTATCCATTTCTTCCATACTGCAAAATACTTCTCTTGCGATTGGTCCTTCAAAAAAGCTGAAATCTTTGCCATTTCCGCCAAATAAGAAACTTTAAAAAACCACTCTTGCAAAGTAGGCAAAGATTCCTTCTTCCAACATTGCCCTACTAACAACCTTGCAGCTGTAATTAAGTTTAACATCAGTGTGGTCTCTTTAGTATCACAATCAGTAACAATCCCTAACAAAAACAGTTGTGGGGTAAATTTTACCTCCTTCTAAAAATTCTTTGAATATTCCACCATATCTTAATCCAAAAGGCTTTTATATTTTTACACGACCACCAAATATGATAATAAGTAGCATCCAAACAACCACATCTCCAACATTTGGGCTGTAAGCTTAAAATAATACAAGACATTCGTGAGAGAGGTGGACTCAAGGTACCGAACTTGAAATTGTACTATGATGCGGTGGCCTTAACATTAATTAGTGATTGGGTTAATTTAACAAATGTAGAAATACTCTTCTTGGAGGGTTGGGATTTACTTTTTGGATGGCATGCCTACTTAATTTTTAATAAAAAACTTGACAGAGTTTTTAAATCTCATATTATAAGGTTTTCTTTATTTCGGGTTTGGAGGAAATATTATAGAAGTGATTTTAAAATTCCATTATGGGCTATACCTTGGCATGCGATAGAGGGGATAAGGAGAGGAGTCAAGATGGATGGTGTTTCTTATGCACAATTACTTAGATGGGATGGTAAAAATTGGCAGTTAAAATCTTTGGAAGATCTAGCACAAGAAAATATTATATACTCATGGTTTCAGTATAGACAAGTAGTGGATAGATGGAAGTTGGATCGTAATGTGGGTCTGCTTAAAGAAGATGAAAATTTTCTTAAACAAGTAAAAGATCAAAGACGAACTCATATTAAGAGAGTGTATGGGGTGTTAGTAGAACTGGATTCAGAGGCAGAACTAATTAAAGAATGTATGATTAAATGGGCACAAAATTTTGGTGAACCAGTTCTACTAGATACCTGGGAAATTATTTGGGTGAGGAATGTCAAATTTACACAAGCCCAGAACTTAAGGGAGAATTTTTATAAGATGTTTTATAGATGGCACCTTGATCCACAAAAAATGTCTCGTATGTATCCTGACTTACAGCCCGAAAAATATGCTTTTGACCTTACATGGCAAAGTCTTCTTTGGCCATTTAATTTTGGAGGAATCATAGCTCTAGAATAAATGTAAGAAACTGATGGCTGTTTAAATTGTTAAGTTATGATTTCCATCCTTCCCTGATCATAGATGTGTGCTAATATCCAAATGGCCAGAGTCTTCCATTCATATCTGAATTATTTTGAAAACATGCTATCCTAATAGAAAAAAATGAGTCAAAAATTTTAACAATTACCCAGAAAGCTACAAAAACTAGCATCTAAACAGGTTTTATTTTTAAAAATACTCCATGTAGCTATAGCTACATCTATGTTTATATCTATGATGTCTATATCTGTATCTATACAAGTCCTTGATTTGATGGAATGGGCACTTGCAAGACTAGAGGGGAAATGTCTGGCCACACAGAGCTTTCCCAGTAGGAGGTTCAGATTAAGAGATGGGAGGGGACTGGATAATTCCCAAGATTCAAGGTAATCATATGTTAGAATATTTCAGGATGTATCTAGTAGGTAAGAATTATAGCTTTAGTTTGGCAAAATTCTGCCTATTAGGTATAAGGAAATAAAGAGTGAAACTCGATTGGGTCTTGCTGTTTCATCTCTCGGCTTGTACCTTACACTGTTTATTGACTGCCTTGTCAGTTCACTATGGGTATTCACTATGAATACTTCCACGAATACTATACATTTAAATAATCTTATTTCTTTTGACAGTATAGCTTATGAAACCAAGAAACTGAGAAAAAATATATTCCTAGAAATCTGAGGAAGCAGCACAACTATGGCATGGAGTCCTGTCCATAATACACATGGCCAATTAATATAGGGTGTTCAAGTTCGGTGGATAATAGTTAAAACAGCACAAACAACCTATAGCTGCTGGGAAAATAAATTACTAAAGTTCTAAAGTCAATAAACTTCTGAATGTGATGTAAATGCCCTTATATAGACAGATAAATTGATGCAAGCCACCTCCTATTCCTATTCTATTAATTTTTTTCTAATATAATGAATTTTTTACTTAATGCGTTAAACAAATAATACCAAACATGAGCAGTTGTTACATTTGTATAAAAAATATGACATCTCTTCACATCATACCTTTTACATCTTCATCTTCAATGGTTGTGTTGGAACTCTCTGTTGATTCCTGTGGAAGTACAAGAGTAATTCATTAAATGATCCCACAGTATTAACGTCTGCTTTGGATGTACAATATTAAACAAATTATGCAAAACTCTGAAGCAGACTATATGAATTTAAGCCTAGGACAAATAAACACAGAGAATGACTGCTTCTGGTTTAAGTCAAATATCAAGCAGTTTGAAAGGAACATTAAAAGAGATGCATTTCCTATTGACCTATGCAGATGTCATAGGAACAAAAAGGAAATACAACAGTGAAGAATGGACAGATTTGGTTTTCTTAAACCCTTTTGACACTTTTTAGACAAATGGTAGCAAACTTATGGACACTGTCAGAACTAGCCATTTAAGACTGGCAAGCACAAGATGTAGAGCTAACCATGTAAAAAAATAGGCCAATACTGCAGTTTGATCTACAACCTTTTAATAATGTTGTAGACATAGAAAACCTCCCATTTTACCTTGACCCAATTCAGTCTGTGGCATTTATTGACATTTAGTGTTCTCCTTTTTATTAATTTTACCTAACTCAAGGCAGCAAAAACACCTTCCTTCTCCAATTTTCCCCACAACAATTCTATGAGGTGGGTTGGGCTGAGAGAGAATAACTGGCCAAAAGTCACTCGCTGGCTTTCTTGGCTAAGATGGGACTTGAACTGATGGTCTCCTGCTTTCTAGCCTTAACCACAAGACCAAACTGGCTTTCTATTGCTAAGATTCAGAGTACTTTACAACCAACAGGTCCCACTTGCTCAAGGGCCGCTGAGCATGTGTTTCTTAAACAGTAGCAGCTCTTACCCTACATTCCCACTTCAACTGATAATATGAAAATGGGGAGTTCCAAGGCATGATATTGTATAATAAGCCTTCATCCTAAATGCATAAATAAAAGTGTGCTTTATTAAAGGTATGACTAAAATTACAGACACACTGTAGGATTTAAAAGAATTTGTGTTCTTTGCTGAAACAGCAAAGTCCAATGTGGATGTTGATGATTTACAAGGATTCCTATGAATATTATATATTTCAGTACTGAGAAATATTGCAGTACAAATATAGCTGAAATATAAATAAGATTTTTTATTTTGTTGCATTTTTTAAAAAATATATTCAATAGAGAAGTAGTTATTGGCAAATTATATAATATAGATGTGCTCAAAAAATGTCCATGTTTATGTTTGTTTTTTGTGAAATTTTCACTCTACCCTTTTCAGACATGTTGTTCTCTGCCAGTTTAAAATTACTAGTTTATCAGACAGCAGATTTTAAAAGCCTACTTTCGTATCAAAAAGGTAAGTACCTCTGATGTTTGGTGGATTATAAATAACAAAAATAGTTAGTTGAAACAGTTTAAAGGACACTATCAAAGATAGTAAAAAGTTTAGTCTCGTATTTTTTTAAAAAATGACTTTGCAAAGGTTTTTATGGAAACTTGGGAAAAGAAAAAAACAAAAGCAGAAAAATAAATAAGATTAAAAATAAAATAAGAAGTAAAATATGAAATAAATAAAATAAGAAAAGACATATAAAACTTCATTTAAGAATTAAGGGTAAGTGACTAAGAATTATGGAGCACTAAGAGCCTTTTGAGCACAGTTCTTATGACTCAAGGATAAGGTCAACAGCTCATTAAATAAAGGTTTGCACAAAGTATAGACTTGTATATCTATTAGTTTAACTATTGAGGCAACTAAGATTCATCACCAGGTTAAAAAAGAGACAATTCTTTTTTTCCTATCCCAAATGTACATGTGGGAAAACTACAACACTATATTATGTGACAGATTTATAAGTCTTAACTTATTGTTTGGGATAAACATAATTCACAAACAATATCAACAGATCTTGGTAGTGTCCTTTCTTTCTGTAATGCTAATTCAAATGAAACATATATTGTCAGCAAGATATATGCACATCAACAAATGTGTCAGTGAATGCCACACCATCCCAAATATTTGTCCATCCATTCCAAATGAACCATCATGCTCTGACTGGTTTAAAAATGATACATACAGAGAGTTGTATCATGCTTGGTTATAAAAGTCACTCTTAGAAATGCTTATGAAACCTAGACACACATATGCAGAAGAAATTTCATGCATCACCTTTGAAGCCAACTCCATGGAAACATAGAATTCGCCCATCATGCGGGGCTTTATTTTTATTGGGGGCAGGGGGTAAGCGATGCACATTTAACAAATATTTCCTCTACAAATGTTTTTTTCTTCCATATTGAAACTCATTTTGTTTTCTGTTTAACAGGAAGTAGGAGGGGCAGAAATATAACCATTTATATAATTATACAAAGAAAAGAGAGTTATGATGGTTTGCATAATATAGATTTTGAGGTCAAGTAAAATTTTGATATTAGTGAAAATATACAGTGTAAATTTCATAATGTTTACATATAATATCAAAGCCAAAATATGATATGAGAAAGTGATAGCAAAGCAAACATAAAAAATATAAAAATGAAAATAAGTCACAGATCTATATAAAATGAGCTAGTATATGAGCTTGAGGAAAGATTATAGTATTAATACTAATGTGCAACTACTATCCAGAAACACAACAGAATGATTACAAGTAAATTAAATCAGACAAGAACACTGATGACAAAGTATATAGCAATTACTGGACTATGAAGCAATAATCACATTGTAGAATTAGACATTGTAGAATTAAACACTGTAGCACAGGGTTTCTTCTTTAAAGTGATAGTTGTTTACCTCAGGATTTAACAGTCACTTAGCCCCTTTTCAAGTTTATACAGAAAGAAAATGAAGATTTAACACAATTCAATCCTACACATACAGCTGAACACTAGAATAAAAATGTAACAGGTAGTACCCACAACAACAATTTTGTCCCTGATTGTGTGAGCAGCTGATTGATTTTTGGAAAGAAGTCTGAAATTCAATGGAAAAGTTATTCCTCTTTTTAGGAAAGGAAAGCTTCTTGTATGGACCATATTGTTTTTGGTTGGTGCTACAACTTTTTCAAGGGTTGTATCAACCTGTTATATTCAGTGGGCTATTGGAATCCCCAGGAAGGCAAATAGGAATATAAGGGATATAAATTTATTTTGACTGCCAATAACAGAATTGCTGTTCATAACTGGAAAAGTTTAAGATGATGATTGGACTGATGATATCTTGAGGTAGGTTCCTTGCCTGATCTAATCTCTTATGTTTGATGCATTTTTAACTTTTTAATTTGACTGCTTTTGATATGTTTACTATTTTTCTACTTTTTGCTGTATGCTGCCTAGCCACTTCTCATGAGATAGGCAGCCATATAAATTTTATCAATCAATCAATCAAGAAATAAATAACCAAACATAGTTGATAATCTGTATTCAAGTTTCTAGGGAGGAAGAGATACTATAACTTTATAACTACAAGTTTCTAGGGAGGAAGAGATACTATAACAGCATCTGTTAAAATGCATATAAAGGTGTGGCCACCAGGGAATTTAAAATTAGCAGTGCTTTGTCAAAGAATCCCTAGTTTGATTGCATAAAGATGAATGACCAGGCTGAGAAACACAAGACAAAACAGACCCACAAGTGTCTTCCTTGAATTTTAGTAATTACTGCATTAAAAAAGACCATCCTGCATTTGAAGAAAACTGCATTTTTTTTTCCTGTTCCAAACCAGAAGCTGAAATAGAAACTAGAAGAATTAAACAGCTCGCACTATAATTTCTTGATTCTCAACCTATCTGATCTCTATTGTAGTCGAGGAAAAGTGATCATCAGGATCCAGTTACAAATGGCACAGGGCTCTACAGACTTCATGAATTCCTAATTAATTTCCTAGCTAACACATGCATTAACATAGTGATTTGGAAAACTGAATGGAACATGGAACTTGAAAAGAGCAGAGCAGACTTCCCCTTACTGAATACCTTATTTCCATCTGGATTGTGGATTACTGTAGTTTGGGGCTCCTGAGTGAGAGTAAAATAGAGAGAAAAAATAGTTCTTGGTCAATAGATTTTGCATTAGTAAGAGAAGGAAGAATGAAATGACCAGATGAAATGTGTTAAGTATGGACAAGAGCTAAAGCAATGTCACTGCTGCCAGAGGATGTCACTGGCCAAACTGCTAGAAAGGTAACCATATCTACTGTATCAGCATGCAAAAAATCTTAGTGATGATCTGAAAACTCGCAGGGCTTTGAGTTCTAGAGATCTAGAGAGGCATGAATTTTCCAAGCAAATGCACTGATCATATGATCATCCTTTTGTTTACATCATTTATACCATCCTATTTTTTGTTAGTTTCCATGAGGGGAAAAAGTATATTAATTAACTAAGACACAATTGAAGTTGCAAAAACACGGGGGACCATAATAGGCTAAACACCTGCATGTGCATTGGTAAGTTTGCAACAACCCAAGGAGCAATGAGGAGTGCTGACAGCCTCTAATTCATTTGATTTAGAGTCTTCCAGGGCCACGCAATCTTTAGGTGTGAGCCAGCATTTTCAACCTGGGATGGATTTAAGTGTTTTTGTAATTTGTGCAAAGGCATTTGGGAAATACCTTGGAGACATATCTTACCAAGTTAGTACCACCAGATAAATAGGAGTGTCTTGCAAAACTTGACAAAAACAAAATTTCTTCAAACTTATGAACTATGCAAGGTGGGATAGGACTTTCAATTAATAAAAACAGGGTTTAATTTTAAAGCTTTGCCACATAGCCCTGAGAAATCAGAATAAACAAAAGAAGCAAGGTTATCATATAAATAGCTAAATCATTAATTACACATTCCCCACAGAGGCTATTATAGCACAATGATTTTTATATAATAAAAGATAACTGTGGTATATAGCAAGCTTTCAGTACTAGATGCCTCTAGATCTCAGTAAGCAAAGTCATGCAAAGTCCTGCTGAGAAAGTAAAGGAATGAAAAGCTGAATAAGGTCTACTTGGTTGTTGCCTAGCAATAATCTCATTAGCTCTCCTTGACTTTGAAGAAATTTGGTTGAAACCTAATTTGTAAATACTGAAATAGCAATCAGGCAAAAAGCTAAAGGCAACACAAAAGCACACTCTATTCACTTTCTTACACAGCATGCAAAGAAAACTCAACTGTGGCAGTGATCAATGTTACTGCATAAGTGCATCCACTTCCATGGCACACCGGCTAATTAGAAACACACTCTTTGACAATAAGCTACCTCCTAAGAAATACAATCCCCAGCTCCCAAGAAACAGAAAAAGAAGAAAACTCGACAATTAAAAAGCAAACAAGTGAAAGAAAGACAAAGGAAAGAGAGTGAGAAAAAAAGATGGAAATGGAACTCAAAAACAAGTTAAGGATAAAGCCAGGTATACCAGCGCCGGGGTGGGAATATTTTCTTTAGGGCTGGTTACTACGTTGGTTTTGTTGTTTATCTGTAGATATGCAGAAAATAGAAACAAAACAAGCCTTAGACCTCTCACTTCACATAATCATATCTACCGGTATATATCTGCCTCTGTAAAATGCTATTGAGTCTGTCTTCTACAGAATGCTATTGAATAGCTGCTCTGTGATGATAAAGATAAACAGATGAATTTACAGCATCAAAATGGCAAGAAGAGATTTATAAGAAACGACTGCAGCATCTTTTCAATCAAGTTTAACATTGCTGTATAGGAGGAATTTCACAGATTATATTTCAAACATGTTACGAAGCAGCTTCTTAAAAATACTTTGTATTAAGCAATAAGTTATTAATGCAAATTTAGATAGGACCACATTTCTAAAAGCTGATTTGTCACTTTCCACATTTATATGAGATATTACTGAACATGACAAAGTGTTTTCTAGATATTTTGTTTGAGTCTCATCAACCTTAGCTAGCATTGTCAATTATTAAGAAAATATGGGAGCTGTAGTTCAGAATATTTGAAAATCAAACCATTGTTTGCTGTTGATTACTGAAGAAGTACATCAGGTATGAGTTCATTTTCAGACTGACATATATCTCAGTCTGCTACTGTAAACATAAGGCAATATTTTCTTGCTACTGATCACATGGGTTCAGTATTTACCTTTAAATAGACTCTGTCGCCCAGATTCACCTTGTAGGGTGATGGGTGGCAGAAACGTTTAATAAATGAATAACTAATAAATAAATAAATCCATCGATCCATCCTCAGGTAAGGTTACTTATAAGAAAACAATTTCTTCAGAAAAATATTAATTTTATTTTGTTAAGTAATATCTCTAAATATGACAAAATATGTTAACTCAGTATCAAGGAAGAAAAATGTTCTTATCTGAAGTTCATGCTAAATTTTCAGCACAATATATTTTTTTCTCCAGATACAAATAAAAATCACTTCACTCAATAATAAAATATTTATTATTACTTAAGTACTATAGCAAATATCTCCTGTATATTGAGCCTTAATAAACATTGTAGTCAGAAAGATTGGTTTCCTGAAATATAACTTTAGGCATGATCTGAATTAATGAACATTGCTCAGCTGAATAATTAACATACAGTATTCATAACAATGAATATATATTTTTTTAGTTGTCAAGCACATTTTAAAGTGAATTACATACAAAATTAATAGATCATTTCATCCAAAATTGGATACAATTTTGTAAACAAATTAATCTTTGTCTAATCCACATTATGAACTAGAGTTAAATGCATGTTTTGTATCTGCAGCTTAAAAAACTGCCTCACATGTTAAATATAATTTTGGAAATTTGACTTATTTTTCTTCATCATATAAGCAAATTAAAATTTAGAACTATCATGTATATATATATTTTCGGGCAAATGGTATATGTGTGTCTATAAGTATGCTTCAGGTGTATGTGTGACTATATGTATGCTTGCATACCCACATATACAAGCATAAACACAGAGAAACATAGAGACTGGAGAATGGAAGCAACCATCAAAACAATAGAGCTGAACAGACAAAAGGTTTACCTGATTAGTAACACAGAATATTTTGTATTGCTATTTCTACCAACACAAAAAATGAATACTTTTACAATATAAGTAAAATAAAAATAATACTGTTGTTTTTCACCCATCTTCTTTGACCAACATTAAATGAATACAGATCAGCCAATAATGTCACATTTAGACTTATTATTGGTTATCCAAGTACTATTCAGGCAGACTACACTGGATGTCAAATGCATTACTATCTTTTAAAAAAGCACGAATGGGAGTAAAACACTGAAACCCCAGAGATGATGAATCTGAAGTGGTTATTTAAAGGGAAGATGGTAACAATTTGGAATTCAAAGGGTAGCTTAGGGCAAAAAGAAGTTATGAGTGTCATCCATAAAAATAAAACAAAAATATCAATTCACAGAAGTGAATGAAACTGTGTGATGGCTTATCTTGCATAGATCTGAGATATAACAGCATGGCAGGGGGATACATCACCAATGTCGTTAACCATCTACAGCAGAGGTCCCCAATCTTTTGGGCACCAGGAACCAGTTCCATAGAGAGAGGTTTTTCCTCTTGTTTGTGCAGCCCAGTTTCGGTCATACTGCAGACTGGTGCCAGTCCATGGACCGGGGTTTGCGGATCCCATGATCTACAGTATGCTTAAAATGGGAAATATTCACAATGCTTTTAACAAAAAATACAGTATAAATAGTAAAAAGTAATCATTTTTTTAGGAATGGGGTCTTGCAGTATGACAAAAATTGTACCAGCTAAGCTCTGTAAATGGCAATTTAAGTAATCTACAAACATAACCTACAGACATGTCCACAGACAATGTGCCACTCCTATATTGTTCAGGAAGTTTTGTATCCTTTCAATGAAACTATTTTTTAAAATTACCAATTTATTTTGAATTAAAAGATGGGTGAAAAAACTAATTTCATGCTTTTTTATATATAACATGAAAGTAACTTAATATCTCAAGCAAGCTCATATTAAAAAAAGTCATAAAGTTAATATGAACACAAGCTGGCATACCACAAAATTAGTACTTTAAAAATAGAGGAAAATATCCATAGACAAAAAGAAAAAATGTGGCTTATCAAAGTCCTGAGCAGGAATCAAATATTAAGTATTAATCAAGCAATTTTAATTTCAAGAAGGATATCTGGCCAACAGAAAATATTTTACAATGTAAATCTGTACATTGGTGGTGTAAATACCTTTCAGAACTTACACGCATTTTCAGGCTCTATCTGCATAGTTGTTTTACCATTATATACAAACCATTCAGAAATTACAATGAAGAGCATTATTTTTATTAATAATGATAATTATCACCTTCAGTGCATATAATCTTATATATATATTTTTAAAAAGGACTTACATTTAGAAAAAGGTTTCAGACGCTAATTCAAAATTTATGGTTCCAAAGTAATATTAACCAATACCTTCTAAAATGAATGTGGAATTGTAGACTCTTTCGTAAAGACTGATATGCATCAATCAGTAGGATAAAAATTCTTTTTCTTTTGTCTTAATTTAGACAGAGTGCATCTTTTGCAGATGTATTACAAACATGATAGAAACAGAAAAATAAGGAAACTATTCTGACAGGAAAAATCAACACTAACTGACTGATTCACAGTCTAATCTATTTTGCCACAATATTAAATATTATAAAAATATTTAAATCACCTAAAAATTTAACAAAGATTTAAAATCGCCCAGGAAAACACAAGCATAGCCAAGTAGGATTCAACATTTACTATTCACCAATGTCATTTTACTTTTTTAAAAATTTGAGTTAGCTATTTATGATACTCTGCAACATTTGTTAATAATTTGTTTTTTTTTGCTTGTTTTTATGAATAAATATCTATGAATATAGGTTTGCAGTTCTAAGCGCATAGTAAACATAGTGTTCTACATTAAAGCACTCTCTAAGTGGTGTACACCAGTAAGCAATGTATATATATATATTTACATTGCCCCCAACAATCTGGGTCCTCATTTTACCTACCCCGGAAGGATGGAAGGCTGAGTCAACCTTGAGCCGGTGAGATTTGAACCGCTGACCTGCTGAACAGTCAGCTAAAGTGGCCTGCAGTACTGCACTCTAACTGCTGCGCCACCTCGGCTCAACATCTATCACACTCAATTATATTTAAAATAAGTATGTGATAACAGAAACTGTATTATTTGGTATAAATACTGCACAATACCCACCAGTGGGTAGTGGCTCCAGTGATGGTTTAAATTGACACTTCCAAATTCCTGCCAGGTTCTAAGACTACTGGAATGAATGTAATCACTTTTTTTCCTTTACTTTCCAGAAATTTACCTGATTTAAGTAAAAGGAGATTATAGGAAAAATATGGAAAGCTTTCAAATAACAAAGGTACTATACTGCAATAGGATCATGGCCAGTATTCCATCAGTTTCATGGCAATATTTGCACAGTATGTAAAAAAATGCAAATGATTTATTTAGGATGTAACACCACAATGATACAGAAGTCACAAGTGTGCATTTTAAAAGTCTTGTAGCTTCTGATGTTACATTACCAACTCAATGATAAATACATCTATTTCATTTCTAAGTGTGAACATTTCATAGGATGAAAAGTCTGGCAGATAAAGTTCCTCACCATCATCTGAACACTCGAACTGGACTTCCTTTTCTGATATGACCAGTCAGAGAGAAAGGAAAAGAAGAAAATATGACTGGTTGGATTTAAAGAATCAATGCACGGAGAACAACATGTTTGTTGTAGTTTGGCTGCTTATTTTAAAAATGCCCAATTTGCAGAAATGGGAGAAATATTTTGCATATGAATAGAATCTCCTCTTTGATAGGCACTGAAAAATTAATTCTCTTTTCATGGTGCCCTATGAGAACAGGTATGAGAAAGAATTCTAAATATTCGTCATAACATCCCCACTCCAAATTGCTGGTAGTAATTATCATCAGCACATCTGTTTAAATAGACCAATTTTAACCAAGACTGTTAGAGATTTGCAATAAAAAATACTATTGAACTACCTGAATATGGGGCATACAGTATTACAGATACATTAAGGCAAGGCATTTCTACTGAACAGATCAATAGTAGGAAAGAAGCAGCCATTTTGTTCCACTGGAAGAGATAGATTTTGGATACAGAGAAATCTGACATAGTCATTGGGGTTAGTTGAAAAAGGAGTAGAACATATTCTCGGTACCACAAATAGCATTCTGCAGTAGGTCCAGCTAATCTTGGGAAATGCACCGGCCGGGTCCAGAAATAAATCGTATTGAATTTGGTTGTTTCAGAATGTCTGGCTTAGATTACCAGTGTGCTTAAACATGAAATATATAAATGTATGTATATCACAAATTTAATAGAAACATACAATGAGTTATTTACTCCAAAGTTCAGATTCAAGAAAAGAAAAATGCAAGAATAGAAACTTAACTCCAAGAATGTTCAGATAAACAGAAAGATCCATAGAGATTACACTTCTAACAGCAACTGAAACATTTCATTTAATGCTAATTATCTTGGATTAAGCTAATTTTTATGTACTACCTGAAACATTATATATGGAACAATCTCTCCTTGTATGTCATTCTAGGGCCAGAGGCTCAGAAATTCTATGTCATATAGAAAAGCTACAACCTTCTTCTATTTCTTACTAATATTGCTTACTCAATCAGAACTTATAATTGAGATCTTAAAATGTATTATTTTCTGCCCAGTACACTGATTTTTTTCTGGCAGAATACAGGTCAATGATTGACCAATTTGTGATAATTTTTTCAATGCTAATATCATAAAATGGCTGCTATTCAAAAATGGCTAGAAAGGGATAAATCACTAACATGACTAGAAAGTAAATTAATTAATTAACACATTGGTTCATATATTGCCCCTTCCTAAGATAAGATTCTAAGCAGGCCACAAGGAAAATCAAAACATATGCAACTCTGAAATATTAAGAAATTCAACAAGTAAAACACGTTATGTGGCTTTTGAACTAAGTAATTATAATTTATCCTTGCCTCATCTACTTCTAAGTAAATATTACTTGCTGCCCCAAAGGCCTCTTGAAAACATACTCTATTAACTTAACTTTCTGTTAAAAAGAAAGTGAAAAGAAAGAGAACTGTATTCTTAACTTTCTGTAAAAAAAACAGCAAGGCAGTGGTGATACCATCCTCTGTTTGTGTTTGGGTGTATATGCGTGTGCACATTTGTTTGCATGTTCTTATGTATGTGCGTACATATATAGACTTCTTAATGAAGAACAGGAGCAGTTATATCAATGCCCAAAGGCATGGAATTTAGAAGGTGATTTGCCAGTGAAAAATGAGTGAGACTATCATTAGCTGCCCTTTATATTTGTAACTTACCTTTACTCCATCAGGTTTCTTCAATAAACTCTTGGCTGCTATAAATAAGAAGGAAACAAATAGGGTCAGTTGACTAATTTAACAAGAAAACTATGAAAAATATTTTTCTTAATTTTGTGAATTTCATTTATTATTATTTGCCATTTCATTTTTCTACCATCTCTTAACAAAGCATTTTCATAATAGTGTGATATCTTTCTTAAACAAACAACAATTATGAGTCACCCAATTTTTTTGGGAAAATATGGAGGGTGGATTCGGTTTCTGCCAGGTACTGTGATCATTTTAAATTAGATTTTATCAAGCATCTAGCACAATCCCCATGGGTTGCTGGTAAAAGAAAGCAAATGTAATGTAATATCCAGCTCTTACTCAAAACTGTTGCCATTTTGATATGTAAAGTATACAAAAAGGAGAAACAGACAAACCTGCAGAAAATTATAGGTCACAATTTTATATGATTTTACATTATTGTTTGTTGGTTTAAAAACTTTTCTTACTAAAAATCTTTCCATCTATAAAAAGATTAGGCTATTATTACTAGTATAAGGTACTATATATATGATAAAATATAGACACTTTGCTTATAAATGAGTGATGGAACAAACCTACTCGTAGATGAGAAAGAAATTCCTGAAGTTGGGCAAGTGAAGAACTGAGGTAAGAAAGCATTCCATGTCTCTCATAGTTTTGCTTTAAATTACCCCTTATTAAACTCAGTGGAATTGATTGAGGCCAGCCCTTCCCACTTGGATCAGAAGAAAATGAAGGGGATTGATCATTTCCTTTCCTCCTCACTTCTACCTAATGGTTTGGGGAACATTCCAAGATCTGGATCTTGTGATTTAGGAATTCTCAGCAGTGGAGACTAAAAAAAAAAAGAAGATGGGAAGAAGTATTAAGCAACATTTTGTCCTCCAAAAAGGAACAAAGCAGAAAGAATAAAAGAAGATTGAATGGTGCATGTTAACACCTATGATCTTGTGGCATGTCCTTGGATTTTCTTTTTAAAAAAGGTAAAAGTTGTACACTTAAGAATAATGAATCTATTTGATAAACTTTTGTAAATGACCTAGCTATTTATTTTGTTTTGTTTTTTTTCCAAGAGAAAATCAGAGTTGGAAAATTGGGCAGATATGCCTTATTCTTCAGTGCCACCCTCACTTGTATTCTTGTTGAAATTATGAGCATAACATTAACAGATATATGAAAAATTAGTATTAATAATATAACTACAATATTGTTAGAATTTATACTTTAGATATCATTATTGCTATATAAATGAAGTTTGTATAGCAATAACTTTACTTGTCATATGAAATAAGTAACTTTTCAAATTATGAATGCATTTGGAACTAGAAATTTAACAAACCATTTTGAGCAAAATGCAATTATCTTAATGAGAGTGAAGCATTATCTGTGGCACTATTAACTTCTGCTCTGAACAGAAACATTTTATGGATAGGAATTCTGTTTTCAAGATGGCAAAGAAAAAATATACAAGATTCTTTCTGCATAAACAATTTGAAAACTGACTTTGCACTTTCCAAAAACTTTATTCTATGGCAGAAGGATTATGCTGCTTTTATAGGTGGTAATTTAGACTCAAAATATTTAAATTGAAGTAGGAGTACAAAAGTTTTCCCAGCAACAGTTGGATGGCTGATGCAAGTCCCAAACAAATGTATTTGTTAGCATTGTTTAATTTTGCTATCTCCATTGCAAAATCCAATTTATAAGACAAACTGCATTGAAGTTGAGGCAAGCCCCCTCCCCTTGCACTTTAGGAAGACTAAGAATATTTATTCACTAAAATATAATTATTCAGATTTTTAAAAATTGAGTATGGTATTTATACATTTTAATATTTTAGTCTTTTTGGCCTTTTGCTTTTGTGTTTATTTTTAAGATACTTTATCATTGTTATTTTTGTACATTGCAAAGAGCCATTAAGGAAATGGGTAAAATATAAATTTTCTAAACCAATAAATATATTGTGGGGAAATTATGTAAGTCCTGCCACTTCAAGAACCCAACCAACCAAGTTTTATTTATCATGTTTGCCACAATAATATATTAATGCCTCTTACGTTTCAAAAATAATATCAGTCTTCAATAATTGAAACTGCCTATGTGGCTGAAGCAATGAGGAAAGGTTCTTGTAAAACATTATTTGAGGAATAATTCTTCCAGCAGTTGATACTTTGGGACTATACATTTCTAAACACAACAATGTATGGATACAAGCATAAATGAAATTAGTATAATTTTACTAATCACTAAGCTTGGTGAATTTGTAGCCTTTTAGCTTGGGTATAATAAGCACCTACCTGATTAACTTTTTGTAAATCTTTGGATTACATTTGGCTGAATATTAACAGGATCCAAATGAATTCATCCTTCTTCTTTAAGAACTGCATTTAAAACAACCCTGAAATGCAGGGTTACAATATCAAGCAAAAAAGTCCAAATCTAACTCAGTGATAAAAATTGTGGACTTGCTTTGAATCAGTAATCATGTTTTCATCTTTTATTACTGAAAGTATCTACACCAACCTTCTCCAGCCAAATTGGTATAACTTCCCAGAATTCCCATCTTGGCTAAAAATTCTTGGAGTTGCAGGTCAATGTATCTAAAGGGCATCTTACTGAAAGAGACTGATATTGACAAAGCATTCCAAGTCTTTGCCTCCTCATGGTCTTACTCCTGATTAACTAAATTAACTTATGCATGCGTTGTACAAAAAGAGAAACTGTGGTTAAATGTTAGTTTATTAATCAAAACCTATAAGCCTGTATTTTATATGAGTTTTAAGAATTGATTCATAAAATATTAAAACAGCCCCCTATTTCAGTCATACTAAGAACACTGAAATAGTATCTGTACATTTACTATATAAGGGAACAGCCTTTTCAATAGTTCACACAAGAGCCATAATAGACTGAGAGAGTTTTTTCTTAAGAATGTGGAGCAAAAATTGGACTGTTAAGGGAAAAACAATCAGATACCCAGATTTCTGAAATCTTATCATAATCCCTTTCAATAAATCTTGTTAAAAGAATCTTGTATTCTATGTAAATGGGTCCATGAAAAATTTGACACAGATAAAACTAAAGAAAGATTCCTCCTAAAGAAAAAAAATAAAGTGATGCAAGTAATGGGAAATAAAGATGTGCATCATGATGATTGGATTTAAATAATTGTGTCAGACATCATAACACAAATAGATAGTTGTGACTTGTGTGCAATATTATACTGCATCTGTTTTGATATCATTGTCGCTTATTATGGAGGCCACAAAAGAGAGGTTTCTGTTCAGACATCAAAGCTATCTTGTAACAAACTGTAAAATGTACATCCAAACTGAACGAACTACTCTGAATATGTGCTTTAGTATAAAAGTGTAAAATTAATTATTTAAATTATATTCTAATGCATGCTAGAGTATAAAGTTGGGTATAAATTAAATAATTAATTTTTAAAAAGAAAGAAATCTTAATTATTCCGTATTACATACTGCATCTACATTAAAACTAAGGTATCACAATGTGCATATCAGCAATATGAACTAAAATAATGATTTACTTGAGGAAGATGCCCCAAATCCCCATTTTGACAAATTATTTTATCATCTTCTTAAAGCTGTAATAAATTTTGAAAACATAAGATTTTCCCCAAGTAAATGAGAACCAGCACAGAAGGCGTATGCTAAGTTATATTAAAATGAAACAGATATTTCACCCATTTCAGTTTTTAAATATTCCTAATCACTCTAGGGATTGGGGGGGGGAACTATCTGGCACTGAGTTTATTTTTCTTAATAAAAGACTATTACATTGAAAGCCCTATTGATTGGTAAGCAGTCCAACCCAAAGAATGAAAATGAGGCTGAAACTGGAAGTTATGGGAGCCATGACAAGCAGTGCCCGAAACGTCCTCAGCCTTCCTCCTCAATATCTAGGATTTTGAAACATGTCATCTTACTTCCTGTAAGATTTTGTTCTGTTCTAAAGCAGCATACAAAAGGCAACAACATCACATAGGTTGGAGCAAGCATTTCTTAGGAGTTTCAGCTTCTTAGGAGCTTACCTCACAAGAAACAAATATTCTACATTACAGGAAGAAACAAAAGGGGAAAAAAGTAAAATATGTTTATAAGTAAATTGAAATGCACAAAAATTACTAAAAGAAAAAAAGGAAGAGTAGCATGTTATATACAGAAAGAAAATGAATAAATTAAAATCAAATGCCCTTCTGATATCTGGGTGCCACATTGTCTTAAATTACATACAATGGGTACCATGACATATATTAACAAACAACACACAAGTTGAATGAATTGATTTACAGTTATTATTTATTTAGTGTATGGCAGTTTGGCTGCCTAAGAGTACTAGCCCATTTGGTTTACACTCGCAAGCTTTCCAAGGTGTACCCCAGGGGATGAGCTAGTTTTATACCAAAAACTGATCTACAGAACTCTTGAGTAAGAAAAGAGTAAAGAGCTAAATCAAGATACAAAATCACATTTGACATAGTGGACCAGTAAGTGCTGAAAATGATAGGTATGTGTTATAAATCATTTTAATGATAAGGAATCTTTTCTGGAATTCTATCTATAGTTAAGCAGAAATAGGTATTTCACAAAAGTTTCATTTTTAATTGAAACAACCATTCAGAAATCATTACAAAATTGTTCTGACTCCAATATACATATTAAAATGAAAGAGCAGGGCTTCCTTTGGCCATCAAAACAGGCAACAGACGGCCACCTGAATGGCAAGTTTAAATTCCTCCAACAAAATTATTAAATTTAAAGCAACAACAGTACTTGAAGAACATTCAGTTCTGCTCCTGGTTCCCTCACTTTTAAAAGAAAGTTATCACATTTCTTGGCAAGCTATACCATTCCTGAGCAGCAGAGGATAAATTTTTCACAACAAATTGCTTAATTTCTATTATTAATGAATATATTTAATTATTAAAATTTAGGAGATTTGTACATTCTTATTTTTTCTTCCCCTTTATGGATTACTGCCTTGTCATCGCAAAGGGGCTTGCATAACTCAACGAAGTTATGAGCTGCGCCATGCAGGGCCACCCAAGACGGACAGGTCATAGCAGAGAGTTCTGACAAAATGTGATCCACTGGAGAAGGAAATGGCAAACCACTCCAGTATCTTTGCCATGAAAACCCCATGGACAGTACTAAAAGGAGACTCCTGCGAGTCCCTTGGACTGCAAGGCGTTCAAACCGGTCAGTCCTAGAAGAGATCAACCCTGACTGCTCTTTAGAAGGCCAGATCCTGAAGTTGAAACTCAAATACTTTGGCCACCTAATGAGAAGGAAGGACTCACTGGAGAAGGGCATAATGCTGGGAAAGATTGAGGGCAATAGAAGAATGGGACGAAAGAGAATGAGATGGCTGGATGGAGTCACTGAAGCAGTAGGTGTGAACTTAAATGGACTCCAGAAGATGGTAGAGGACAGAAAGACCTGGAGGAACGTTGTCCATGGGGTCGTGATGGGTTGGACACGACTTCGCAATTAACAACAACAACAACAATTTTTCTTGGTTGCATAACTTCTGTGAATAGAGGAGATTTATAGATTATAAATGTAAGGATCCTCTTAATATGAAGGGCCAATCTTCTCTCCAAATGCTTTGGAAGCTGTTCTGTATTAAACTTCTGCCTGAATTTATTAGATTGAACAATAAAGTAGCGTCATCAAATTTGAAAAAAATAGGCAGCAAACATTTACATGTAAGAGGTGTATATCTCTCTGCCATTAATGGAATGGTAGAAAGAGTGAATACAAAGAAATAAAGAAAAAATTGATCTTGATCCTGGTGTTCCAAATAACACATACATTTATTATACGCTTGTATGTATTTGTGCTTTTTTCTTATTCTACATGAATCAATTATCACTGGGTTATTTTAAGTTTTCAAATTTAATTTGTGTATTTTTTATGTAGCTTCCATCAAAGTTCAAAATAATTTCCATCAAAATGAGTTTTTTTTTTTTAAAAAAGGTGTGCATGTAGTAGTGTACAAATATGGATTTAAAATCTAAAGGAATACAGAAAACAATATATGCCGAATTCCACATTTTTCAAAATCCCTATTAACAAAGTAAAACAAGAGGAGTGAAAAAGACGTCTGAACAAACAATGACTGTAAATTTTGAAAATAATTATGGGATGACTTTTCCATATTTCTATTTATATAGAAATATATATATATATATTGTATATTTCTAAGTTGGCTTTTTAAATTATAACTGTATTTAGTTTTGTTTTATAATCTGATTATAGAATACCAATCCATCTACTTGAATATATATCATGTAAATAGACAGAAGCAGATAAATACAGTAATATTTTGTAAGATGCCCATTGAAGTGCATGTCTATAATAATAAATGTGGAAAAGTTAAAAATGTGATTAGTAAAGAATACATCTAGAGTAAAAAAAAGCGCTAAAGACAAAACTGAATGGTGGAAACACCATCAAAGCCATCAATACCTGGACTATACCTATGATACAAAATATTCCTTGAATTATTAACTAGGCACAAACTGAAACAGGCAGTTTGAATTGAAAAACAAGAAAGCTAATGATTATTCACTATGTACTACATCCCATACCTGCCTACAGAAATGGAGGTAGATGTTCACTTCAAAGAAAAGCAAACTTTGGCTGATTACACATAAGACAGCCAAGAACAAGCACTGATGCCAGTTAAAAATTGGAACTTATTGAATGTGCAGGAAACAAAACATGAATATCAAAATAATGTAATAAGAACAGAATGCTGGCAAGAAAAAGCATTATAAAGATCAAGGGAATGGTGGATAAAGATAAAATTTGGCAATGGTTTATGACTGGAACATTAAAAAAAAGAATCTGGAGGTTTAATTTTGGCTGCTCAAAAGCAAGCTATTTAAACTCATATAATCAAGACCAGAATTGAAAAATTGTCAAAGGATTCAAAGTGCAGATTGTGCAAAGAGGCAATGGACAGTGGATCATATACTCAGCTTGTGCAAGAAGACTGCACTGATTCTTTTTGTAAATAATGTTTGTAAAACTCTTAGTTCATCACAGACCAGATTTAACTGTAGTTGAAAAGAACAAAGTGTGAATAATTGATGTGGCAATACCAGGGAATTGTGGAATAGCAGACAAAGAATTGGAGAAGATCACAAAATATCAAGATCTGAAAATCAAAGTTGAAAGATTATGGCATAAACAGGCTGTGGTAGCCCAATTGTTATTGGCACTCTAGGCATCATACCAAACAATATTGGCTGGCACTTAGAAAAACTGTGCATTGACAAATTTCTACCTGTCAATTACAATTACAATAATAAAGTTGGAAGGGACTGTTGAGGTCTTCTAGTCCAACCTCCTGCTTAGGCAGGAAACTCTATACCATTTCAGACAAATGGCTGTCCAGTCTCTTCTTAAAAACTTCCAGTGTTGGAGCATTCACCACTTCTGGAGGCAGGTTGTTCCACTGATTAATTGTTCTAACTGTCAGGAAATTTTTCCTTAGTTCTAAGTTCTCCTTAATGTCAAACTCACCACTTGCTTGAATCTGCACATATACTATACTTATACATTACAACATCCTATGTTCCTGGGAAGAACTCAATGTATATGAAGGCCAACAACAAGTAAAGAACTGTCAGTTATGATTTCACACTGTTGTCTGTAACACCATCAAACAAAAACATCTGCCTATCCCAGGTCCTTGAAAATAGGTGAATAAAAATGCCAAATCCAGTTTGAACATCTGGCTGACTATGCATCAAATCATAAAAAATAATAATACAAGTCCTTGGGAAGGACTTGATAGGTGGACAAAAATGCCAAAATCAGTTTTAAACATCCGGCTAATTGTGAGACCAACCCTAACACAAAATAACAAAGATCTGCAAAGAGAATTTAGAAAGACTATGGCAACAGAAAGCAAACATAGTACCAACAATAATAGGCACCTTGGGTGTAATTCCAAACAACCTATAGCATCACTCGAACATCATTCACATTGACAAAAGTGCCATAAGTCAACTGCAAAAGGCAGCCAGATGTTTGGAACAGCTTATATTCTGGGAGAATATAATATTATGAAACAATGACATCTGCCTATATCAGGTACTTGGATAGGTGGACAAAAATGTCAACTCCAATCTAAACATCTGGCTAAATTATTACAATCCTGTAATACTTGTCTACTGTCAGTTCTCATGCTAGCTGGAAAAGTCTTATCTAGAACAATATAAGTAAACTTAAATATCAGAAGCATTTTAAGGTTTCAAGCAGAGACCTGCTCAAATTATATTTTTGGCACAATGAAGAGATTATGGAAGAAATTTGATATACCTTGCATAGGAGTCTAGCAGACAACTACCATACATTTTGAACAAGCGGTTTTTTATCTCATACTGCATATGGCAAGGATGTAATCTAATACAGAAGGAGGACTGTCTGAATACTGAAGAAAAATCCTTCATATCAGGTACCCAATTATTCCTCCAGACACATTTAAAAGGAAAACATAACTCAACAATTGACAGAAATGTTTTAATAAAGTCTGTCAAGAATTAACTGTAGAATTCTTTTCCAATATAAATATAAAATAAAATTTAGGAAAGGATTTGTTGTGATTCTCATGTTTGCGTATTTTAACAAATGCTTTCAAATCTTGTAGTATATTCAGCTGTAATATCAAAAGAAGCTAGAAAAAACACTGAAGAAAGAATGAAATGAAAAGAGATGGTTATTTCATCCCATTCCATTTATAACTAGAGAATGCATAAATAAAAATAAATATATTTGGCAAAACAAACAAAATAGTATATGAACAAATTGATGATTTTTTAAAATACATTCCATGAATGCCATATCAATAGAAGTGAACTACACATACCTGAGAAATTTCTTGTAGCCAACATTGTTGTTAAAATGGCTCCCTGAAAATCCAACATAATGCCAATATTTTAGCAGATTTTTTAAATATCAAAATATGCAAAATTGAATTCTAAATCTATTCATCTTAATATATAGTATTTATAAACAGTATACTTTTCTTCTTAAGTTTGTTGAGGTTTTGTTTTCAAATATGGTAAAAGTATGTGTCAGTTGTATTTGCAATTAAAAACATAAACTGACAATACTTCATACTTTTTGAAAAAAAAGCATCACAATGTCATATTAAAAAGGGAGGTATGCTTGCATTTATTTTCAATTTCACTCATGAACACAAATTTCCCTCCACCCTTCCAAAGTACACATATGTAAACACACATTCAGCCCCACACAGAAAAGAGAGGAAAAGGAATATTAAAGAGAAATCTCTCTAGGGCTCAATGTAAATGTAGTTTCAGATAATCAGTATCTGCTACATTATTTTCAATATCCTGAGAATGCTGTACTCCCACACACAGAGAGCAAGAATTTGCACATACAAATTGGGAAACTGGCTTTATTTTATTAGTTTAAATATTAAAACAAAGGAGTACTGACATCAAATTCTGCCACAAGGCAATACAAAATCTGCACAAAGAAGAAGAATAAAAGCCGATATCCATGTAAATTGGATACTTTTACATATAAAATTAATTAGTATGGATTAGTTAGAATATATTTTTGGGAATGCCATTTTCCCAGCCAGCTATTTAAAGAATAAATAAAGAAAACAAAAGGATTCGTAAAAAAGTACCCTTACCTTGAGTTTCCTTCTTGCATTGAACTTCTTCAAACAATCTACAGTCTCCTGCCGGTGCATCATAGAAGCAACAGTAGAGCGTTGCTGAAAGACAAGAACAGAGTATATGTTTCAATGCATGCAGCTTTATCTACACTGTTATTTAATATAACTCTTTTTTGGGAGGTGCATCCAGAAGTCAATGACAATTTGAGTTCCCAGTCAGAATAACAATGTTCCTTCCCACCACTTAAGGTCAATTTAATTGTGTTGCCGCTACATATTAGATTCCAATAGGGACTTTTTGATCTTTGAATTCTTTTTGTCTTTAAGTTGATCACAGATTATCAATTTCAATATATTATTCAGATCCTGCTTTTATATCTTCTGCTTTGTAAGTTTAATTTAGTTGCTTAATTAAAAGTACAGGTATTCCTGATTTACTGAGCACAATTGGACCTGGCAACTTGGTAATTAAGTGAAGCAGTCACTAAGTGAAAATGTTAACACTACTTACAATCTCACTTCAGCTTTCCTTTGCTTACAGTTATGTGAAGGTTGTAAATATGATTGATCATAAATATATTTTTTCATCACTGCTGTAATTATGAATGGCCACTAAATGAGGCAGTTACTATATGAGGATAACCTACAGCTGTTATCTTACATGTCCCTTTAACAGAAACCTCATGTATTGGCACTACAGAACACCCAATACTCTGGGGAACAAAGGAAAACATAGCTAACAGAATAACAGAGTTGGAAGGGACCTGGCAAATCTTGTAGTCCAACTCACTACTGAAGCAGGAAATCCTATATCATTTCAGACAAATGATTGTCCAATCTCTTCTACCACTGCGGTATAAATTCTGTGTGTCTGAGGGTAAGCTACAATACTGAGTTAAGATTTTATAGAAGGAAGTTAAGAGGCTGCAAAATAGTACAATGAATAGAGAAGGTGTGTATATGCATGTGTAACCAAATACCTAACCTTGCATTTTGCCCCCAACCACATGACTGCTAGGCAAAACATGATTAATGAAGTAAATACTGCTTACACAGATCCATGGGTGTTTGAGGGCCTCTGATGCATGGATGCGTTTGGCAGGATTGATTGTAAGCATTTTGTTGATAAGATCTTTTGCTTCTGGGGTCACCGTATCCCATTCTGGGGAAGGAAACTTGAAAAACACGAATTCATGTAAAATCCAACCGATATAACAACCAAGATGGAAGTGAACTGTTTTAATTTGTGAATTACGATAAGAAGGCTTTTGATAAAACACCAAGTAAATGACTATGTCTTTTAGCCACTTTGCCATATTTTAAGAAAATAAAACATATAATAGAAATCATGTCACATTGAACTAGAGCTGCAGCTTTTGTAGGGATCTTTACTCCTTAAAAACAAAGAAAGGATTATTTTGCCTCTTTTCTAGGGAATAAATAATTTTGCACAGTCTTTGAGGTTGTCTTAATGTGGGCTGGTGGATGATGAGATTTTTCTCCCTCTCTCAAATATGGCAATCTTCCCTCTCTTCCTATGAACTTACAGAAGCATTTGTACAGCTATTTCCCCAATTCACTTCACTTTGAATTCTTCCCATTCTCACAAATTGAGCAATTAAAAACAAGGTGAATGGTATAGCATAGCACTAATGAAAACAAACAAGTTAATTAGCATTGAGCTGAGATACAGAAAACTTGAGTCAAGACTAGATAAAAGAAAACTCAATTGTATGAGATATGAAGAGAGGGAATAGGTTCAAATAATTGGGAAAGATAATCTACTCTTGAACTGACCACTGCGTGCCACTGATTCTTGCCTGTTGGTTATGGAAAGCCATCACTCATGTACATTTCAGCATGGCTGAAGCCTGTAAGACTGGCTGTCCTTCTGAAAGAAGGCTATTATTTTATGAAAAGCAATTTGTATGATGGACTCCTCTGAGATAGCAAGAAGGATAATCATGCTGCAGAAGAGATATTTGCCTATTTTGAAATACATTCCAATAGGTATCAGTGCTTAAAAGGCAGGGTGGGAAGAAAACCTATCATTTTTTTAAAATGATTCTTGTGGCTGCAATTGCTGGACTTGAAAATTATGAGTGGTGAGAAAATAGAATGGAAACACGAAACACTGTGGGCGGCACCAGTTCTTCATGGCTCATTTCCCATCTTTCTGCCCCAGATCTACGTACACAAACTTGTAAAAAATATCAATACAGATTGTAAGTGTGGGAACCTGTAATAAATTGTGGTCAATGAGTGATGTGTCAGGGATGGGCACAATATGATGGTAGAAAAACTATACTGGGAATATTTAATTTACATCAGCATCACTAAGTACCTTCCAGCTCTTTTGGACTACACCTCCCATTAACTGTGGTTGGCATGATGAAAGCTGCAGTCTAACAGTAATGGAGGGATGTGGGTTAAAAAAATAGATTCCTCAAGCTGGACAGATCAATTTAGACCACCTAATTCAACCTTGTGCTCAAGCAAGGAATCCAAATAAATTCTTCATGAACAGATGGCTGTCCCGCTTTTACTTGAGCATGTATCTCAAAGGGAAAATGGGAAATATATGGATAATCAGAGCTCTGGAAGGTTGATTTTAAGATGTACGAGATCAGTTAGCTTAACCAGGGACCTATGTGGTTCAGCATGTTTACACAGTGGTAAACCATCCCCGTCCCGGCAACCCACAAGTGGTAACTGGAAGGTGATAGACTTCAATGCTCACTCTTTAGTAATTGATATTTAAGGCCTGCTGTCTGGAAGATTAATGGCCACAAATTTGTCTAATCCTTTTTAAAAAAATTGTGGCTACTTCTCGTGAGTGTGTGTGTGTGTGTGTGCCTTTGAGTCAGTGTTGACTCCTGGACACTGCCTGGACAGGTTCCTACAGAGTTCTGAAGAAGTGACTTGTCACTGTCTTCTTTCTGTGGCTGAGAGTGATCAGCCAGCTGGCTTTTTAACTACAAAGGGACTAGAACTCACAATCTCCTGATTTAACATGGTGTCTTAACCACTACAGCAAACTGGCTATCTCTATACCTGATTCCAAAAATATAATTATAGCTGTGTAGATACTTATGTGAGAAATTCTTTATTTATTGTTTCTAAAACAGATTTTTGACTTTGCTTTTAAAAGAAATCAAATTATATTACTACATAGGACTACATGCCAATCACCATGCATCAATTTACCCTTATTGTGTCTCTTGAAAGCACATATTGTAAATACTCAAGTCTGCATAATTATTTGAGTATCAGCTAGTAGTGTGTTATACTACATAGAAGAGAAAATACTACAAAGGAAAAAAAATCATCAGAACAATTTCAGAGGTTGGGAGGGAAGTTACGGAATATCAGAATCACAAATACTTAATTGTGTTATGTTTTTGGAGATAATAAATAATTATGATAAAAACAAACGGAAATTGAGGCCTGTTACTTACATCATAAGCACCAGCTTTGATCTGTTGATAGAGTCTATGTTGATCTTCATCCCAAAAGGGAGGGTATCCCACCAAGAGGATATAGAGTATAACACCTGCAAATGGTATTAAATTAATGAGTAAAAGTAGCTCATGTAAAGAATAACTGAGGGAGAAGATACATGGGAAATCCATGAGATCTCCTAGCGCATAAGGCACATGGACACTAATTTTAATCAGACTAGTATACTGAAGAAAGATCAGCAGCATTTTCTTTCACTAAACCTTCTTTTTCTGAATATAGAGACCCAAATGCAGGTGCATATATGTTACATAATCATCCTGGCCAGAGAAATTAGGAGCAGACTTGAATTTCAGATATATGAGAAATGGAAGAGGGAAACTATTACAAGTAATCCTTGAGTTACGAATGTAATGGAGCTTACCCATTACATTCGTAACTCGAAAATTTGTGGGAGTGAATCTCGTACTTTGAACATGATTCACTCCCTGCTTTCGCCCATGCATTCGCTAATCAAATGCATGGATGAATCTGCGGTTCATTAACTGCACGAGGTATCTCAGGGTGGGGAAGGCCATGGAGGGCCTAGTGATGGAACAGACCCCAAGGCCTCCTCGATCCACTAAGATACCTCATGCTTCCCCCTATCTTCCTGCCATGCTGGACTCACCTTGAAAAGGTCCGTCTCCTCTCTGCTGTGGTTCCTGCTGCTGGGTGAATCTGAGGCTGGGGGACGCTTCTGCATGCCTCTGGAGGCTAGATCCAGGCGTCGGAGGCCTTTTCCAGGCCACTGCCGCCTGAATCTGAGGCCAAGGGACGCTTCTGCATGCCTCAGTAGGCCCGTTTCTGGGTAGCAGCGGCCTGGAAAAGGCCTCCGGCACCCAGATTGGACCTCTGGAGGGCAGTGGAAGCGTCCCCCGGCTTCAGTTTCATTTTTTGTTGCAGAGAACAAAAGCCTAAAGTACCATGAGATCACACAAGATTAGTAGCGTGAGATCTGGCGCCACCCATCTTGCGTGAACTTGCATTACTTTAGGCCTCCATTCTCTGTGAACACAACGAAGGCCTGGAGCAGCCAAGAAAATGAAGGATCTTGATCTTCGCAAGGTGAGTATTGAAGGTCTAATGCCTAGGGAGACCCGGGGTGGGGAGGGAGGGAATTGCTGGAAACAATAAATGCTTTTGTTTAGAGTCCCAAAGTAGAGTCTGCAAATATGTAGAAAGAAATGATATGAAGAACATGAAAAATATTTACCCACACACAGTCTGAAACAGAATAAACAACATTAGGGTTACCAATTTCTTCATGTATAAAAGGAGAGAGGCTAAATGAATGACCTTACTCAACAGCCTCATGTGACATTAATTCTTCCCTTTTACTGACAAATTGATGTCTGCAAAGAGAAAACTTGTGTGAAAGCAAACATCTAAACTGGTATTGTTGTAATGAAATTTAAAGGCTATATGATATAATTTGCACATTGGAAAATCTACAAATATAATCACTTGGGGAGACAATGGGGAGACAATGTCTTTCCTTAAAAGCTACACTGTACACTGAGGTTAGCAAACTTTTCAGGGATCAAGTATCGCGTGTGATATAATAACTTACATACTCCCAAATAATCTCACCTGAAATCTTGCAAGGTTGACAATTTGTCCAACCTAAGACCTTGAAATATCTGTGCAAAATAATGGGGAGATTTGGCAACCATTTCTCCATGAACACTATCTAGAAGAGTCATGGATGCCTTGATATCTTCAGATCATGTTGATCCTTATAGTAGATTGAAATATGTGTTCCCTGAATTCCTAATGTTGTTCTAACTAATTTTTAGCTTTTTAAATGTAAAGCATCATTGGTGTGAAATGTAAACTATTTTCATGAATCTAATAAGCATTCTGACCTGTTTATAGGGTTTCGCTTGATATTACAGAAAACTAATGAAACACAGATGTATATAAATTAAATAAAGTATATTACAACAAATTTTATAGGTTTTTTTTTGCAACTGCTCTTATCTTGTTTTTTAATTCTGATAGACTGATTATTTTCAAGTTAAGGTGCGAATTGAAGGTGGATACACACAAGACTACTAAAATTTGCAACTGACCAATGCTTGTTAAAGAAAGCAATATATTAGTTATATCAATGAATAATAATGCTTATTAGCATGTATTGCTGTAATCTCACTTTGCCTCAAAGGGTATGAGAGCCAATTTGGTCTAGTGCAGGAGTAGGCAACCTTGGCTCTTTTATGACTCGTGGACTTCAACTCCCAGAATTCCTGAGCCAGCCATGCTGGCTCAGGAATTTTGGGAGTTGAAGTCCACGAGTCATAAAAGAGCCAAGGTTGCCTAGCCTTGGTCTAATGGTTAAGGCATGAGGTAAGAAACCAGAAGACTGGGTGTTCTAATCACACTTTAAGCATGAAAGCTGGATGGGTGACTTTGGATCAGCCACACTCTCTCAGCCCAATCCACAAGTTTGTTGCTATGGGAAAAAGAAGTATTAGGTATGTTCACCACTTTGAGTTATTTATAAAAACAATTAAAGTGGGAAATAAACAAACAAACTAATAAATGTCAAGCTTCATACAGTTGGGGAAGATCAACAAAAACTACAGATATTTCAACAAGGTATTTTAATACTTTTTTGGGGGTGGTCAGTGTTCACTCCTTGCACTGCCTGGACCAGTCTCTGCAGTTTTCTTTGCAGCAAGACTTTTGGAAGTGGTTTGCCATTGCTTTCCTCCTATGGCTGAGAAAGAGTGACAAGGCCACAGTTACCAACTGGCTTTGTGTCTAAGGTGGGATTAGAATTCACAGTCTCTTGGTTTCTAGCCAAGCCAGAAGGATAGAAACAGTAAGAGGAATTTCCATCCCTCATTTATAGTGAGGTAAGACAAACTGTCTTTGAATGATCTGAAAGATATCTTCCCAGTTTCTTCCTATATGGAAATTGCTCTTTGGGCAATCAGCTGTCAGCTGATAGGTCTACTATCCCTTGATTATGTCCACTGCATTCCTTTCCCAGTTTCTTTACAATCTCTCATGGGTTGCTAAATTTTCATGATGATAGAAGATAGAAAATAATAGAAGATAGAAAACAAAATGGAAAACAGGAGGCTTAATTATGAAATATATATATAGTAAAGTGTGTATATATACTATATATATATATATATATATATATATATATATATATATATATATATATATATATATATATATATATATAAAATTTACACAGAAGGATAACAAAGTTGCCTGCTTTAGAGATATGTATGCATTCCCAAATCTCATCTCCCTGTCTTACAAAATCATAACTGGCTTACCACAGGCCCACATGTCTACCGGCTTCCCGTAGGGATCTTTTCGTAGCACCTCAGGGGAAAGGTAACCTGGTGTACCAGCAAAACCTGAAAAGTAAGTCTGCTTAGTGGCTATAGTAAGCTATCCGGAAGAAAACAAATATTAAAATCCCTTTTTAAGTAGCCGTGTTTAGGCTACATTGTCACCATCTATTCTACCTTAGCTTTGCCTCCCCCTCTCTCTCGTAATATATATAGTCCTCAACTTACAACCATGCGATTAGCGATTGTTCAAAGTTACAACAGCACGGGAAAAAGTCACTCATGCTTATGGGAGTTGCAGCATCTCCACAGTTACATGATCAAAATTTGGGTGCTTGACAACCAGCATGTATTTACAATTACAGTGTCCTGGGGTTATTGGGGGAAGCCCAATTCACTTAACAACTGCAGTGATTTGCTCAACAACCATGGCAAAAAAGGTTGTAATATGAGATGCAACTCACTTAATAGTCACCTTATTTAACAATGAGAATTCTGGCCCCAATTGTGGCCGTAAGCTGAGGACTATTTGTAGAAACATTTGTGAATTACTTCCAAACCTATACCAATGTTTTTTTAACCCTTCCTTTTTTTTTACCATTTTACCACTTGTTTTATGTTCTAGGGCAGTGTCTCTCAACTTCGGCTGTTTTAAGATATGTGGACTTCAACTTCCAGAATTCTCCAGCCAATACAGTGGGAGATGGTCCATATATCTTATAGCAACCAAGGTTGAGAGACACTGCTCTAGGAATCTTTGAATATTTTGGAAAACAGAAAAGGGCAACCAAATTAATGATTCCCCTTTTCAATAGTAAATAAGACCTCCGGCATGACCACATCCCTTTTAACACCTCCATCACCTGAATTTTTGTTCATTTTGCATAATTATAAAAATATTTTAATATCACCTATATAAATATAGATTTTGAGAGAACTTTTTCAAAATCTTTTTATGTAGGTTTTTAAAAAAATATTTCTCCAAAGTAAGCTGATAGGTACAGATAGTCACTTTTATTTTTTACATGCAACTTTCACATTTTGGGGGCAACAGTTAATGTAGATTTCTGACTGGACAAAAATGATGCTAGAACAGCTTGGTTTATTAATACAGTGATAATTAAGACAACCTTTGCAAATCTGTAGTAGATTTCTTTAATGTCCCACTTGCAGGCACACTAATTTAATACAGTGTAGCGATGTTGGGATAAATGGGGAGGTATAATACAAACTGAAAATGTCTTCTTACCAAACCAGGCCTGTTGTTCACCTTGCACTTCAATTGCTAATCCAAAATCTGCCAGTTTTACAGCTGCTCCTTTTGACTTGCTTGCTAGAAGCAAGTTCTCAGGCTTTATGTAGGGCAGAAGAGGGGGGGAAAAGAAAAAAGAAAGTAGAAGATAAGTCAGCATTTCTAATTCAGTACTTTCTTTATGTGGATTACATTGGAGACAGACATAACATGCTTTTCCTGTTTTCAAACATAACTAATAAATGTTTGATTCTAAGAAATTTTAAATGGATCCAAAATCCACAAATTATTTAGAGTAGGGCTGTTTTATTCTGTTACATTTTTAAACCCTCTGTTCTCTTTAGAAACCCTTTTAGAAGCCTCTAAGACTGATCTGTCAAGTATCTACAAATTTTATTCGGGAATCTGAAGTTTTTCCCAATAATAGAATTATTAACTTTCTCCAACTTGATGCCCATCAAATTAGTTGGCCTGAAATTCCCAGAATGCCAAGCTCTTTAACACTTCTGGAGAATACTAGATGGCCCACAGAATCACCTTTTCAATGAATTCCTCCTGTAGGTCTCATATAACCGATTACTGACATGAGATCAACCCTCAAATATTTTTCCTTGCTAAAAACAGATATATATCATAAACATAGTTTATTACAAAAAAGAAATATTACCTAGACAGATTACCTATATCTGTCTTGTCAAAATCTATATGACTGCTAGATACAAATAAAGATACAAATAAAACTTTCTTGCAATTCAATTATGAAGTCCTAGGATCTAGCTTATATTACAATTAAGATCATCTTAAAATGTCAATATTCCATTATATCTAAACATACTCAATACTACAGGTAGTCCTCAACTTATAACCATAATTGAGTCCAAAATTTCTGTTAAGTGAGACATTTGTTAAGTGAGTTTTGCCCCATTTTATGACCTTTCTTGCTATAGTTGTTAAGTGAATCTCGTTTCCCCACTGATTTTGCTTGTCAAAAGATCACAAAAAGTGACCACATTACCTTGGGACATAGCAATGGTAATGAGTCAGTTGCCAAGCTTTTGAATTTTGATTGCATGATCATGGGGATGCTACAAAATAGTCATAAGTCACTTTTTTCATTGCCATTGTAACTTTGAATGGTCACTAAATGAACTGTTATAAGTCAAAAACTACCTGTATTTTTGTATTTTGGAATCTAAACTTTTTTTAAAAAAAAATACTGTTTATAACAAGAATTATAAGAAGTGCAATCAATTTTACAAACAATTTGCTGGGCTAATTAATCTGTAAGGTTTTTTAAGGCAGGAAAAAAGTTAGTAAAGCTTAGTTTTTAGTAAGATGATCAATGCTTTCTATCTATAACTTTCCTATGCAGGAGCTGTCATGTTAAACCAGCTTCTGTCTAAACTTGCACTTTTTGGATGGCTGGGAATGGAATTTCAAAAATTCTCATAAAGTCAATTTAGAGCACCTCCATTTTGATAGGCAAATACCTAGGTCTTGCACAACACAAAACTGGGATAACAACCTAATCTTCTTCACTCTGTGAGAAACACTGAATATTGTAAACAAGTAACTTTGAACATAAATATGTGAAGCAAATATTGCAGTCGTAAGGAAAGAAATATGGTCGAATAATTACAAAACAGCCATACACTCAATAGCAAGCTCATCTGACTTCTGGGCAACTGACCATGCCCTTAAAAAACATGCATCAGCCATTTCAGGACTATGGAAATGTCAATAGATTTGTCATGCATGAGTTCTGAATAGGTTGGGGCAAATGTACACAACTGGACAAAAATATGGGGGATTTGATGGAATCTTGAGACTCCATCCAAGAAAGAAACAAGTCAGTGTGTGGATCACAAAGTTGCACTTTAGCTGCAGATGTGCATATAGTAGACAGAAAACAATAATTTATTTGAGCTTATTATAATACTGATAAAAGAAGCATACAACATATTTTGTGTTAATATTTAAACTGTATGTATAAATAGTATCCTAAAAGAATATTACAAATCTAAATGAATATTTTACCACCACATATTTGATGCCCTAGCTGGCAAAATAAAATAAAATTTAAAAAAAAAATCACGTCAAAAGGGGTAATTTCTCTATGATTCTTCTGGAAAAATGATATTTGGCCAAATCCAACAATGATAGTGAAAGAAATGGAACTAGTCACCAGGTGGATCCAAAGCTAATCATTAAAGAAAATTACATCTGTGTTGAAATTAAGTCCAGTTAATTGTATTCTATAAATGTGAGTCAGATTTGTTTTAATGGGTTTTCAGTACTAATTCAAGACTGAATGAAGTCATTCATCTCTTGAAACATTCTGGGGCCATCTTGTACATCATCCATGCAAAATGATTTTAAAATATACATAGGTGTTTAAACAGTATATGATTTACAGAATCCTTTATCCAAGATAAAATGTTCAGGTTTTGTATATGAAGAAAGGGTTTAATTTAAAAACAAAACAGAATCCAGAATGTTGACAGAAATAATTTATTGCATATATTGTTATACTGGTGGCAAGATGAATGTTTTTAAAAATAAGGACTTCTGTTCTCTTAATTATTTTTTCTTTTAAAAGAATCTCTAACAGTTTTGAAACTATTTCTATTTTATTCTGTCAAGTATCTAATGGAAGATATTTTTAATTAATTTTTTGTTTTGTATTAAATTTGACAAAGAATCGTGGGTTATTTTAAATAAATGAATTGTGATATAGGCTCTTGTGTATGCATTAACTAGACGCCTGAGGAAGCAAGTGTTAGGTAGCTAACTAAATAAATGTTCCCTGATTACTGAAAAAAATTATATACAATTGTATACCCCAACACACATCTTCATTTTTTCTTATTGTATTCTTTTGTATTTTTTGTATATACCTTCCTATCTAGTCAATAATTTTATGCATCATATGGGTTCTAGTCCAAAGCATATTTAGGACTATTATTAGAAATAATGTACAGGAATATATGCACACTCAACCTCCCCAATTATCCTCACCCAGTGTAAGATAGTGTTGTTTATTTGTCATGGTTAGCCAATAAATACATCAACATACTGTAACATACAGAGGATAAACGACTGCAGAATATGATCTACTTTGGGAATAAATCATTCCAAATAAATGTCAAGAGGAACTATTGTTATCTAAAGTGAGCCATGCAGATTTGTGAATGTTCATAGTATGAAATATATTAATAAATTCCAGAGACCTTATTGAGTCTCTTCCTTCTGAAAATGTGTTGCGAAAATAACAGGCAGCTCTATAGTTTACTATTGTACAGATCTCATCCAAACATAGAGTAACTGAAAGAAATTGCTTTAAAATGTTTTATGAGATTCTGCTTAGTTTTCAGATTGGGTTATTTAGATATTATTGTTACAATTTGTAAAACATAATAGAAAATATGTTGTTCTAAATTTATGAAAAGAAAATGTGCATTTATGTGTAAGTGCATGTAAGTTCTGAATTAAGTTCCAAAAGAATGACAAACCTTTTGCTCATATTCATTACTACTGTTCGAAATTTGCTAACTATATATTTTAGGTCTAAAGATTTTTTTTAATTGTAGAAATAAAATTTAAAAATCAGTTGGAACTGCTGGTCAATAATGTTACATTAGGAAAAAACTGACAAAACTAATTATATGTGAAAGCTGATTAACCTTAGCCATATTTGCATAATTGAATTAATATGTATAGAGAGAGGTGGGAATAAAGTAAGCAAAGCATCACAAGAATCCTAAATATGCAAGGAAAAAATAGTTCTTGCCACCATGAACAACTTGCAAAATAATCGGTGGATGCCTCTTTGCTTCTAGATGCAAAAATGCAGCTATGTAGTGCTTTGAATCTGTGATATATGATTATCTTCCCCCACAGCATTACTCACCTTCAAGTCCCGATGGACTACGCCCATCTGATGGCAGTGTAGCACAGCCTCCAGGATCTGCTGAATGCAATGACTGCATGCAAACACCAGGGGGCGTATATTAGTTCGAAGCTGTACACTCACTGTCTGTATAACCTCAGTGAGACTGGGTTAAAGTGCAAAATGATGAACAAGCTGAGATCGTGATTCACAACCTCTTAAAATGTAGGGACCTGCATTCCTCCGCTAGAACAGCTATTTCCTCAAACACTGTGAATGTGCACTGCAAATACATGCATGCTTTAGCCCATTTTTATGTAGGGCATGAACAGGAGGGGTAAGGATATGTTTGGGCTCAACCTCAATGAAAGGGTTGAAGGCAATATTCTTGGGCATATACATAATATATTGAGAAGAAGACAATGAGAGTATATCATTGCTTTGATATGGTTGGGTTAAATATCTGGTGCAGTTTGTTCCTTCTCTCCCTTATTCGCCTTGGAGGCCTTTTTGCACCAGCACCCCTGAAAGTAAATTTACTTTAAGTAGTTTTGTATTTGAGATGACTTATTCACCCTTCATGGTTTCATTTAGTCAAGCAATTATTTGATCACTGTTGCCTGAGGGATCTATCCTACTCTAGCAGAGCAATGCATAACCAGTCATTCTGCTACAATAACCCATTGTCTCTGAACAGAAGTGGTGTTTTAAACCTGCAGGCTAACATCTATCACAGACAAAGGTCAGTCACAGATACAGGCTACAGGACTGAGGAAATCTCCTTCCAAAACAGTTCCTGATACTTATGGCACCTACCACACCTCTTGGAAGGTCCCTGTATTAGCAGTACCTATTCTACCTTTTTCTGTGATGGACATTAAACCTGTGACACTTGCAGAGTGGAAAGCAGCATCATGCATTACCCATTTCTCATATTAAGGGTGAAGAGGATAGCCAAGGGAACTTCTCAGCCGACCCACCCTTAAAACTCAAGCCAGGAAGAAAAAAGAAAAGAGACAGAAGAGAGACAAAAACAAATAAAATAATAAAAATGTCTTAGCAAACCTACGGGGCACCAGATACTGACCTTGAGGTCTCTGTGCACTATGCCATTTAGGTGACAATGATTAACACTTTCTAGAATCTGCTGTATACAATGACTGCAAAGATACAAGGGCAGAATGGGAGGGGGAAAAACATTTTAAGGCACATAATCACATTACAGAAAATAATTTAATAATAATACTGAAATAACTTAAAATAGCAATAACTTAAAATAATGAAATCACATTTTTGGACAGGTTTTAATTACACACAGAACTGAAACACAGCATTTCTCTCTTTCTCTTTGGAAAAACTGTCAAGAGACTCAAAAGAAATGACATTTAACATATAACATATAATGCTGCTGGATATAAACTTTTGGTGGAATATTTGCTGAAATGTGAGAGGAAAAGTTAAATATATACTAGGTGATAGATCTATAGTAAATAATACAAGCTTATTGTAGCTTATTGTGCAGTGGAAACATCAATATAAGTAGCACAGAGAACCTGTGTAACCACTGGTCATGATGGTCAAGAATATGCATAATGACCAACAAAGAATTTTGCTCATTGACTAGTCAATGTGTTTGGAATGACGTTGAAAAATATGAAATTGTGGGTATTTTACAACCTGAAGAGCATGAATATTTGCTAATCAATGTAGATTATACTCTATTGTGTAGTGTGACTAAGAGAGTGCATATTAGTTGAACAACAAAGAAATACAATGCAAATCCTTCTAATATATGCATGCTTTCCACATATTAATAAATGGCATAATGGCTATTTTTATGTGTATTATTCTTTCATGTTTAACTTCAACATATATACAACATTTTAATATAGATGCATAAGGAAAAAAAACAGAGCAAATTAAAAAAAGCACAAGGCTTCTTGAAAACCAAACAGTTTAATAGAACAGGAAATGGGGGGGGGTCAGTTTGTGTAATTGAAAGGTGCATTTGAAGCAGTCAATTACTAGCAGTCATCTTTAAAAAAAACAATAGGGAGTCTCTGGAATTAATTTAGTAGGATCCTAGGGGGAAAATTCAGTAGATAACCTCATTGAAGAAGAAGAGGCATCTCTTTTTTCTTCCTCTTCTGCTAAAGATGCCTGTAGTGCTTTCACAGAAGTTGATAAGATACTCCATGATGTTTTTAGAGAAAGTAGAGTCAGCAAAAATAACTTCTTTTCTCCAACAGAGATAACTCTGCTTATGAACCATTACTTTTCTGGTGTTAGAGATGATGCACCCTTCAACCCACTCATTTATTTATCTTTCTCTCTACCTCAGCCATTATATTTATTACACACTTGCTAAATTTGAAAAAAAAATAGATAATAAATTATAAAGATGGGCCTTTAGATGCTTTGAGTTCAGTACTAAAGAAAGTAATGAATAATTCTTCTCTTTTACAGCAACAGATGAACTTTTTATTGATGTCAATAAGATTAAAAGACTGAACATTATTCTGATATCACCACTACAGTGGCAGGCAAAGAATAAAGCCACATGAACTGTTTTTCATTGTGTGCAATGGAAAAGGAAGAAAAAAATAGCTGACAGTTTGGTTCCAGATATAGACTAGTTAGGGGTATTGGAACTCATTAGTTTTGGAATCTTTTAGAATTTGCTGGCTTCCTTGATTTTAATGGGTACAAATTATTTAGACCACAAATATCATCTTTTTCCTTTTTAAAACTCCAACAAAAACTAGTATGAAACTTCCTACATGAGCAAATCAATCATTGCCATACCTATTTTTCCTTTTTCCCCTCAGGAATAGTTGAATAGGATATTTTGGGTGGTATTTGAAGAAAGAAAAAACCTACTTTACTACCATCATGTTGCTCTAGTCCAGTGGTTCTCAACCTGTGGGTCGGGACCCCATTTGGGGTCGAACGACCATTTCACAGAGGTCGCCAAACAATGCAGTCTGCCATTTTTTCCCCCTTTTCCTTAGCTGTGCTACTCCCTTTTATTCTATTGGCTTTTGAAAGCCAATAGAATAGACTCTCTTGAATAGAGTCTAATTCTATTGGCTTTCAAAAGCCAATAGGAATTGTCCAGGCTGTCTCTGCCCTGCTGAGCCCGCCAAAAGTCCCATTCTGCAAACGGTGCTGCACCAGTTGAATAGTCCTCGACTTACAACTGGTTGAGGGTCGCGGCATTAAAAAGGTTGAGAACCACTGCTCTAGTCTAATAACAGAGGGAATGTAATATAAGAGGAAAATAGTATTGATACAACCCATAGAATAATAATGGCACATTTATTTGTAGAACTAAATTTTCATATGGTAATATTCCAATAAGATATGCATTGTGGAAAGAAATATCTAAAAATAGACTCTGCAAAAGCAAACAGGTGGAATCCCAATATGCTAAATGAGTACTGTTTTCCAAGACTGAGATTTAAGAAAAGTTACTGTAATTTGTTGCAGGGTATCACACTAAATTTATTTTTATTTTATCAAATTTAAAGACCACCCAGATGATTTTTTTTAAAAAAAAAAATAAAAGATTAGCACTGACCTTGCATCTGCTTCACTGTAATATTCTCTTGCAACAATGTCCTCAAATAATTCACCTCCAGTAACTCTAGCAATGATATAAAACATTTTTACAGTTAAAAAAACTAAGTTGGAAATTTATTTTTTACCCAACTTTTTTGCAAATACTAAATTATGGCTGCTTCATATAATGAAGGATCTGCAACCAGACTCGGTTCTAAATACAGATAATGTATATATCCTTAGTAAATAAACGTTTATTGGACCTACACATTATTTTTTTTAAAAAAAAATCACTGACTTCTAAACATTCTGCGCAGAAGAATTTTTGATGTTGTTTTTTTCAAAACTGCATGAAAAACCAGGAATGAGTAGGTATATTTCATTGTTGGACCTTTATAATATAATGCATAAAATAAACTGCACAATTTATTGTACTGTCCAATGACGCTATTTTAAGCAGATAAAGTAGCAAAGGATTATCTTCCTATACCATTTCAAATTGCCACTCTCTCACTTTGGATGAGATACCAGTTCTATTTGGCTATTATTCAACACTTAACTTGATGGTTTTCCAACATAAAAAGCAGGATTGCGTTCCAATGACAGCATTGCAAAAAGAGTACGATTTTGCTCATCTGCTCAAATCACATTATTTTTTTAATGATTTTTGATGAATTTTATGAATTTTATCTTTATCTTTTATTATCTTTATTTAAATACTGAAGATTTTCAACATTTAGCTAATTTTTTTAAACAAAGTCCAAATAAAGCATACAATAAAGAATTGAGAGAAAACAATTTATATAAAATGAGGCTTTTCATTTCATTTTTTTTTATTTAGTTCAAAACACATCGTTCTGTGAGATCTGAAATGAGAAATGTTCAGGCAACAACAATCCCACTTAATGACCTTTACATTTCACCCAATAGTGTTTTCAGCAAAAAGAAATGTGTTTCAGAAACAAAAGACAAATTCTTTATAAAAATATTTTTAAATGCTGGATATAACTGGCTGAAAGGACGCCTTATTTTTATTTATTTTCAAATTTCTAGACTGCCCATCTCACTTGAATAACTCTAGGTGGTTTACAAATAAAAACCATACATTACTGTGGAAGCGTAATTAAAATCAGAGTTAGAAACAGAATTTAAAAATGTTAAAAATTAAAAGGTTAAACGTTAAAGAGGCAGAGGGAGTGCTCTTAAGGTACAAACCACTCCCAAGGTGGCATATCCTTCTTAAATGCCCACGCCAATTGGCAAAGGTGGTCTTAATGCTCATGTGGAAGGCCATAAGTGGGGGCGCCCACCTCACCCCTGGGGGCAAGATGTTTCATATTTATTGACTACATTTACTTAACAGCAATTATATATTTTTTGTTTAGTTATCTCTTTATCTTTATTTTGTTTTTAGTAAATCAGGTTGCCTGAAAAACGAAACAGGTTTGCGGTATAAAAATGTACCCATTTTTTCTGACAAATCTTACAGATTTTGAATTATTTCCAGTTTACATTGTTATAATTTTTTTTCAACATTTCTGCTTAAATTGTAATAGTTTTGTTTATTTGAAATATCTGTCTTGATAAAATGAGAAATTCATACCAAGCAACAAAAATAATTTAAAACATACCACAAACTATTTCTGATCTAATGTTGTGTTGGTTGAATTTCTCTTCACAATAGCATCAATGTTGCTGCAGAAAACAACATCCTGGCTTTGTTAACCTGGAAATTCTGGTTTAACTCCAGCTAGAAATCAAGAACTGATCAGAATGTACTGACTACAGTTTCCTTTTATTCTTTATTAGAATAACGATTGCCAAGCATCAATATTATGTGCTATGCTTATATAATTTGGGTTGTTTTTCATAATTCTTTTTTCATTCTTAGAGAATCCCCGAGAAAGTAAATATTCCATAAATAGTTTTCAATAGTTATAAACATGGATTTCACAGTGATATGGTCTGAACATGGTGAACGAGAGTTGCCTGGAAGGCACTGGCTTCCCTTGCAGATAGAAGATGGCTACTGGTTTTTTGTATACCAAGAACAACTATATATATATAAATATGGGGAGATATATATATATATATATATATATATATATATATATATATATATATGTTTATAGATTTGTTTATGGGGACCTTTGGCAATCTCTGCTCTCTTTGTTTTTTATCTGGATCATATGACAAAGTCTTTCATTTTATATATTACATGCTATTGGACAAACTGTAATCAAGCAAGTCAACTTACAAATCAAAGACTAAGTAATGAAATCCTTCTTCTGATATGCTGTCATGAAGTCGCACTGTTGAAAGAAGAGAAAAAAATTGTCTATTTTTTCCCTAGGTACTCATAATTTTATTTTGCTTTCCTTCTACCCTTCTGTTAATATATAATATTCTACTCTTTTCCTTGGATTACTTCTTCAGTTGAAAACAATGCTGTCATATAAAACAGATACATTTGCAGTATCTTAGCATAATTCTGTAAATATTATAGATTAACATCTAATATATTCTTTTACATTCATAAATTTTTGCAAATTAAATTTCAGTTTGATAGTTATATGCAGGCCCCAAGTAAGGAAATCTATCCATTAAGAGAGAAAAAATGTTTTTCCTAAATCCATTAAATAAAAATCAGCACATACATACAATGTTTCAAGTGTCAGCAAATACTGAGTAGCAAACAGAATAAGCTGATCAACCGTTACTTTAAAAATGAAAATATGCAAATGATATAATACAATAACCAAGGCTCATTCTCTTTCACACATTTCATAGTCAATCTATCAAAAACACTTTGTTCTAGCTAGAAAGGAATAGATATGGAACTCAAAATATTTTGTTTTACATTAGGAATCCAGTCAGGGCATGGCAGTTTATACTGACAGAAGATCTACTGTACAGAAAGGTAGTTTAGTTTAACCATACATTTCCATTTTTCAAGTTCAAGCTTGAAATGACATAACCCTTGATTCAAAATATATTTTTGAGAGCTGAAACGCGTAGTCTGACCTTCTAAATCAGGGGTCCCCAACCCCTGGTCCGTGGACCAGCATTGGTCTGCAGCATGCCAGAAACTGGACCACACAAACAAACTAAGCCCCATCCACAAGATGCAGGCAATAAGCTAAACCATGTTGCCTCTGACCCGCGGAAAAACCTCTCTCCATGGAACCGGCCCTAAAGGTTGGGGGCCACTGTTGTAGGTGAACAATTAGTTTTATCAAGTATTCATTTGACTCCTAGGTAGAAATGCATACATTTCACTTGCAAAAACCTCTTTTACTTCTTTATGATCAGTGGAATTTATGGACTAACAAAAAATCATTTTGCTTTCTTGAAAGCTGGACCCACAATGCATCCATAGCCATACCTTCCCATAACGAATGTTTCTTCAATAAATAACATTTGGCCACTGATAACTGCCAGCTTCAGATCCTGCACTTGATGGTCTTTTAACCACCACCACCACCATCATCATTATCACCTCTTCAGTTATCCAAATTCTTATTTCAGAATAGGTACTATTTTGTTTCAGAAAATAACACTGTATTTTAAAAGTAAAAATAAAACTCTGAGAACCTGTAACATATATTTAACCACCCTCTCTCAACTATACATATTTCTAAAAAAGGAGGAGGAAGAAATATGCCGTGACAAGCAATGTAGGCTGGACTTCTTTGCTTTCACCCCGTCACTTTGAATTATCATTTAGGTCCCCAACTGAAATCCTGTCTTGAATACAGGCATTTTACTGTCTCCAGCAGTCCAAATACTATATTCTCTTAATCACATGACTGTAGGGAAAAATTAAGCTTCCTTGCAACATATTATGAACTACTTAGCTTCTTTCACTATAATTTCTAAGCTAGTTTTGTATGTGACTAATGTCTAAATTATCTCTTTCCAACTTAACTAGCTTGTTACTCAGAATTTATTCAATATTTGACAAATGTTTTCTTGTTAATGTGTTTTAACACAGATTCAGCAAAGAGCAGGCACAGAGAAAGAAATAAGGATGACCAGGAGATTACTAAACTAAATTTTATAGTTTAGTTGTTTACCCTTTAAGGAAATAAAAATCTGGAACAATAGATCAGTTTGATAGAAGAACCAGCTGTGAAGACAGTGATAACTTCCCCTAGACTGGATGAGTGAATGCTAGACAGCTATCCATTCAAGATGTTTTTATTGAGATTTCAGTACTGAAACAGGTTTTGAATCAATAGTGTAAATTACCTCCTCAGTGACTGCATAATTCTATGAACATATATGAAAACAAAACACATCAGACTTGCCTTTGGTTAGATGGTCTGCTATGCAAATTTGATTAATAAATAAAGAAATCAATACTGTGTTCTCTTTATTTTTCTGTTATGGAAGTTTTAAAGGGGCCCCTTTAAAATGTATCTAAGTTGAACCTAAGAGCGCTGTTATATTAGTGACATGCTTCTAATATTTATTTTCCATCCTTGTGTGCAAATGCAAAATCAATACTGATTCTGCTAAAACAAGGTGCTGCACAATTCATTACCACTCCATTATGTTAACTGTGACTGATGCTAGTTCTTCCTGTAGCCCTTGCATCAATATTAATGTATTTTCCCTATTTTTTCTACTAGCCTATACAGCTTTATTTTGTGGTAATAAAACTTAAAGACTATGAAAATTTTAAAACAATGACAAAATATTAGCATTTTTTGTCTTCAAAATATTTCAGAACAAGAACAGTTTGCTCTTGTGTAAACTAATGTTTTACATTTCATTAAGCTTAAAATTTATTTTCCTTTTTTATGTTTAAGAAATAGCAATTGCACTTAAGACCTATATACCGCTTCACAGTGCTTTACAGCCCTCTCTAAGCGGTTTACAGAGTCAGCATATTATCTCCAACAATCTGGGTCCTCATTTTATCCACCCCGGAAGGATGGAACCTTGAGCCGGTGAGAATTGAAAACTGCTGGAGCGAGCAATCAGCAGAAGTAGCCTGCAATACTGCATTCTAATCACTGCGCCACCACAGCTATTGGTATAATATCTACCAAAATAAGAGTTGGGAATTCTCTACGAGTATTCCATTTTAAAGTAGCTAATGACATAATTTATATTATTAGTGAAACTAAACAAACTATAATAGTAAAAACTTAAAAAAAAAAAACAAGCATGGATATAAATGATAATGTACAGGCAATGACGAAATTCAGTTCTGAAATTCTTCCTGTCCTAAATTGTTGTGCAGTGTGTTTACAAATGAGATTTCTCTAACATTGGGCTATAACCAACTATGTTATTTGTTTTTTAAAATATGCTTTTGGGGTTTATATTAGACCCAAAGGCTTTTGTTAAAAACAAGTTGTAATGACGATGAAGTCTATAGTTTTTTGCCTTGTTGAATGCTGCCTTCCTTTTTATTTGCTTTATATCAGAGGTCTCCAACCTTTCCGGGCTCGAGGATCAGAGGAAAGGAGAGCAGCTTCAAAATTGGGGTGCATGCGTGTGCGTGGGGTCATGCACACTGGCGTGGCACTAGCATCCCCATGGCGGCTAGCGGCACATGCACAAACAGGCTGCGGACACCCACCCCCGCTAGCATTCCCGTTCGCACTTGTGTGCATGTGCAAACAGGACTGTGGGCGCTAACACAAGTGAGGGAAAATGCGCACACATGCATGCACGTACTGGCCAGCCATTTCTGTGGCCTGCTGGCCAAGAGCCCATGGCCCAGTCCCAGGCCGTGGACCATAGGTTGGGGACCCCTGTTTTATATAATTAAAAGAAGCTTTAAAACATTCGTTCAGGTTAGACAACTGGGTAAATAGCCATACTACTGCCTACACATTCCATATTGCTTGCAATTGTTTTACTATATTAAATACAGTTAGATGTCAGAGAGAGAAAGAAAGAAAAGGGGAAGGAGGTCAGAAGAAACAAAATTTGAAACAAAAGGGAAGGAAATGATTGCTGCTATATTTGGCACTACACTTCCAGTTGTCAAGTCTGTGCAGTCAGGTTCCACACAACTTTGTTAGAAATAGAAATGTTTCAATATTCTAGCAAGGGTTCCTAAAATCAATCAAACTGATGGCTGGCAGGAGCTATTTCAATTTTGATTAATAAAACACAGGTAGACATGAAATTTGACTTTTATTTGGCACCTTCAAACCATTTCCAATTCTGCATCTTCCATTCTGTATACTGATCAATTTGTGATTCATCACTGCGTTATCCCTCCAAAACAGAGAATATGCACTCTGTCTGAATTTACATTTTCCTAATTAACACATTTATTGGAAACATGGTATATTTATTTCTAACTTGATTTAATCAGGTTTACCATCTTCTGGTTCCTCACTAAATCTTTTTTACTTAGTCAGAGACTCAAAGACAACTTCTGAATACCTTATTAATTCAAACATCTAGCTATCTGAATTTCACAACATAATTCCTCAGGCTGACGAGTTTTAAAAATGAATAATCTATTATTATCTGACAATATTTTAGATAAGATATAAATGTAAGAATATGGTACAGTATAGCCAAATGCAAGCAGGTTGAAATAGGAGATTCTAGAAGAAATATAGGTATACTCTGTGTGTGTGTGTGTGCATGTGTGTGCAGATATAGATAAATAGACAGACAGATAGATAGACAGACAGACAGATGATAGATTTAAAGGCTGCTTGAAATTAGAATGATTCTGGGAGGCTTACATTTTAAAATAATACAAATAATAAAAAAAAACATATCTGGGCAAGACAACTAAATATGCTATAAAATTATATACAATGGGTTCTACTGCTATCCTATATCCAAGGTCTGGGAGAACAATTAGATTCAACACCACCAAGGTAGGCACTTCATAAATCTCTGGGAAATGCTATTCCAAAAGGCACGTACCACAATAGGAAGACAAGCTTTCTACTTCTTGTAGATGACAACATTTAATTGACAAGACCCAACATTTGCCAGTTCTTATTAGACAGGTAGAAACCATGGAAGATAGGATGTCCTTCAAACAAGCTATGCCATGAAGGGCTTAATTGGTGATAATCATCAACCTGAATTATACCTGGAAGGTTTATTTATTTGTGTCAGAAGCATCACAATTAAAATAAGGCATTTTAAACATAAAATATAAACTACAATATTAAAGCATGATAAGTTAAACAAATCTTGCTCAGAAACTAGCAACATTAATTGCATTTTTAAAAAAATATATTTTATTAATTTTTTTACATAATCACCTTGATATTTGGTAAACAGCGTGTTGTCTGGGATTATTTTTACAAAAAATCATTAA